TCCCCCCAGCCAAACTTTGGGCTTTTTTTTACATGCAACTTTCTTTTTCCCCCCCATGTTTTTTTTTTTTTTTTTGTCTTGCAGCTGAAGAAGAAACAAGTGATCACCCTGGATATTTGACAAATAATCTATTAAACTGGTGAAAGCTTACCAGTTACGTCAACATTCTTCCTAGATCTCCCTTGAAACCACAGTCTGTGTGATCATAATACTCCAGTTCACTTTCACTCCTGTGTTCTGAAGGAATAAGATTTGGACTCCTTCCGACATTTTGAATGCAAATTGATTAAAGGATGTTGTTCAGCTAAGGAAACTATTTTCACATGTCCTGTCTTGTTCAGACCACTTTATTTGCCAGCCAAAATTTAAAATCCACTATACCATTATAGCTGACAGGACCCAACTGTCACGTCAGAACTGACCGATTTTTTAAAGAAATCTTTTGTTATAATTTTACTGTGTGCATGTTTATAAAAACTTTCACCGTTTTCAAATCTATTCTACTTTTAATCACTTTTACTCATAGGCACTGTTGAATTTTAACCTCCTTATTGATGGTCCTTCCTTTTATTGATGATCCAGTTAAGTCAATGATACATCTAGCATGTGGGCTAACAAAGCAAGTAGTTTATTTTATCTGTATCAGTTGCCACAGGCAGATGTTTTAAAATGACTTCATCTGACGTCTCAGCAATGAGGGTTCGATTTTCACTGGATTGGCCATTTTAAGCTGCCTGCAGCCCTGTACTTGTTTTTGGTCACAGCTATAGATCACTTTCTGTGGCCAGATCAGGAGAAAATTGTCACTTCTGTCTGTACCCTTCAACTCTAAAGAACAGCCAACAGGCTGTTTACTTAAGCCTCAATCCTGCAAAAAGTTTAATACTTAACCTTATGTACTGAGAGTAATCCTACTGAATTATACATGGTCTCTAAACATATGACCCTTCAAATGGTAAATTATAATTCTACACAGGTATAGATAGATCTGTTTAACATTACTATGTAGTTGTACAATACTTACTCAAAAGCCATGTGGATTCCTTATGTAATTAAAAGCAGTTACATGATACTGGTGTACCAGGAACTATGCTTTATTTTTTTAACCTTTATCACAAATCTTGCTCCCCTATTTCTCCCCCCACCCAATAACGTTTACCTGTTATCTTTCTCCTGATGTTGACATGAGTTAAATCTGTTAAATTATAATCAAAATAATGTTGCTACTCTCTGCCCAAAAGCAATACAGATGAATTAACAGGGGAACCAATTTTCAAGATTTATTGATGGGTACTTCTGATAACTTTTTTAAAAATTGGGCTTAGAGGGGAAAAAAAAATGGAATTAAGGACAGACTTGTTTTGTTCTGTTTTTACTATATCACTCAGTGGTAGTATGTTTTGGATCAATACATGAATTAATTATGGGCCAGCCAAGTCAATGGGAATTTATTCAGTGATTTCAATGATCTTTGGATGAGATATAGTCCAAATGCTTCAGGTGGTTTTTTTTTTTTAAATAATTTTTGAGCACAGGATGACATCAAGTTGCTATAAAGAAGGTTTTATGCATGTCCCTGATCTATTAGACTAACCTAAACCTCATGTGACAGAACATTTTAGAGCTACAGAAAATACTTTTTACATTACATTCAGGATAAATGGACTTTTGATGGTTTACTGTAGATCCAAGCCCACAACTTTGGACAGTTCTTTAACAAATGTCATTAAAAACCAAATAAAAGTTTTACTTTACGTGGAAATCAGCTGCTTGTGCAATCCTCATGTCTTCAGCATGGCAGATAAGTACTGCCAAGTTTGTCAGATGTCAATAAAAACCCCAATAATGGTTTAGAGTTAGTGGCTGTTGGCTTTATGTGGCTACAGAACAGCTTCTTTACTTGATTAAGATCCACAATTGGACTATTTAAAATAATACCATAGTCTTGATAGCAACTGCTCTGGTCACTGACTTGGGGGCCAAGGTGAGGGGAGGGAAAACATCAGCTGCTGCCACAACCACACAACCATGCCAGCAGCATGGCGACAGCCAGAAGTCCCTACTGCTCTGGGTGCCCAGCTGCTTTGTTATGCCTCTGGGAGCTGGCCTTGATGTTCAGGATGGAATTGACATGACTTACAACCAGAAAACATAAATTAATTTGGCTATTGTAGGTCTATGTTTGTGAGAAAGTCATTTTAGCATCTGGAAAGTAGTGGACTTCCCAATGACTGCTACTTTTTATAAAGGGGAATCAGGAAACTATGCATGACTTTGAAGCAGCCATGTTATCAAAGTGCTTTTTACTTTCTATGCCAGCACCAACCTCACTCTCATCAGGATACACCTTGGGAATCAAATGGTTTTCATGCAACTGTTTATGATAATGGTCTGAAGCCTGCAGTGTCTGAGCTTGAAGAGACTGACACCCTCAGCTGGACATCGTTAGGATAAAGTGTTTCAGGGCATTGATTGTAGTCATGTTGGTCCTAAGGACATAGGCAGACAAGGTTCTTTGGGTAAATATGATATATTATTTTAGACCAACTAAAATAGTTGGAAAAATTCTTTTGGATAAAAACTTTGGGATACAAACACTTTTTTTCAGGCAGAGGGGGCACCTGCAGTTGTTTTGTGCTCTCCTGGATGGGATACAAGCCAGATACTGGCTTCTATCCCATCTAGGAGAGCAGAAAACAACTGTAGATGCTCCTTCTGCCTAAAGAAGCCTATTTGTACCCCAAAGCTTGCAAAGAAGATTTTTTTCCAACTATTTTAGTTGGTTTAATAAAAGATAGCAGATTCACCCAAAGAACCTTGTCTTCCTTAGGATAATGTGGGCATTCAAGTGCCATCCAGATCACTATTTACCCCAGTGATTTCATATGCTACAAGTGTAGCTGAGGAAGAATCTTGTGGCAATCTGCAAGTTGCCCATCTCAGCTCTCTGGGATCCATCTAGGAAGAAGGAGCTAAACTATTTTATTTCAGTCCCATCAAATCTTTTCCACACTGCATACTTACAGTACCTTTATAGTTGTCTGCTTCACCTTAGTCACCAGCCATTCTTTTGAGCCTATTCCTTTGGTTTATAGGGGAGGGGTTTATACCTTTCATTTTGAGAACTTTGTCATATAATTTGAAGGGCATCCTCCCACCTTTAGTCACCAGCAAAGCAGGAGATGGAACCTCTTGATTCCAGTGCACTCCAGTGACTACACCACTAGATGGGTAGTCTGTAGACTGGAGTTCTGTTCTGGGCTGTAACACTGGCCAGCTCTGCAGTATTGGGAAAGTTGTTTTTCTTTCTGTTCCTGCCTTTTGCCTATTTTGATCATATGCTTTTCAGGGCAAGGACTACTTCTCTCAATATGTGGTTGTACAGTACTTAGCAGTACAATATCACTCAAGAACCCTAAAGGCTCATCTACATCACTTCCACAGAAGTCCTGGAAGCTATGTCCAGGAATGCTGCCAAGAAGCATGCCCCGCCCACTCACCCCTACAGAACAAGCCCAAATTCTGGAAATAAGTCATCATGATTGCTTTAGAAGAGCCTAGAGGGTAAACCCTATTGCTACTCTCAGGCTGTCTGTCTCAGATGTGCTTCTTGCTGTGTGTTCATAGTCTAGATATGGTCTAGATACATTTAATAATAAAAAGTGCTGCTAACTCTAAAACCAGGAGGTCTTCATGCTGACAGTGGAAAGAGCTGTCTATGGTTATCATCTTTTAAATGTTATCAAGTCACAATGCAATATGTGGGCTTATCTGTAGAGACCAGGTACAGAGTCAGGAATTTTAGTTCTTTGGGCAAAGTCACATTAATTTTCTTCACAAACTACTTCATCTAAGAGAGTAAAAATATAACAACATGAATCATTCAACAAAAGCCTGAAGATGGGTGGTCTGCCATTTATTGTGGGCCTAGACAACTTCAGAAAATAATAAAAATGCCCACACATTGAACTAGATATTTTTCCACAAGAAATATGGTTTACACCTGGATCAGGACACTTTTGCATTGTGTAAAAAATGCTTACAGTGATGTAGATTTAAAATAGGATAAAGAACATAAGAAAAAAATTGACTCTTTTCAACACTTTTTGAACCCTGTCAGGTTTTCCCCACATGTAACAATTTCTTCAAAATGTGGTAAATCATGACTTAAAGGTGATAGTTTGGAAGGGCAGAATAGATAAATTAATGGACATTTGATTGGAATAATTATGATGGATCTGCTCTCATGGGTTATAATGAATTTCAGATGCAAATATGATCTATGGTACATTTAACTTAATTGGAGAGATCACAGGAGAATCATAATATTATCTAGGTTTACTGCATTTTAACAATCTCTTCTACCTCCAAGGAAGGGAGAAGAATTACAATTTAAACTACTTATAAAGTAATATTTGTTTCAAATGTCCTAACCTCATAGCACTGTCCTCAATCTGTAGCCTGACCAACCTACATGAACGCACTGTTCGGGAGCTGAAACATCATCAGGCATGACAGCAATGGCATTCAGTTCCTATATTCTCCATGCTGTTGCTTCTTTCCTGGTGGCATTATTCCAAGGGAAAAAGGTGCCTTTATATTTTGCTTGTCCCTTTCAGCCTCTTCATCCTCATCATATCTTTCATCCTCATCTTCGTTCTCCTCATCACTTTGATGAGGGCTAGAAGGCTGGGAGACCGAAGGGGATGGTGGGACTGATGAGGGCCTGGGGTACCTGAAACCTTCCGTCTGCCAGAGACATAAGAAAGAAATGAACATGGCAACAATGTAGCTTGTAGGCTATGCACAACAAGGTCTTGCTGATGCTTTCCAGGGCCAAACCTCAAGTCATATGTTAAGTGATGTAAGCTTTACCTGCCCCAGATATTAAAGTTAAATAAAACCAGCACTCATCAGGTTCAAGATTTTCCAAACTTTCCAAGTTATAAAATTATAGTTTCTTTTTATTCTGGTATAAACTTGGAGTAATTGACTAGTGGAGTTACTGGATTTAGACAGTACCCTAATACTGAAAAACCTGGCTTGATATTTCTTTAGGAGTTAGATCCTAACTTCTAATCTGAATACTCCTGAATTTCTGCGTAAATGGGTGCATGCTGAAATTTATATCACAGCCTGTATTCAAATCTGCATTGCTACAAGCAACAAATGAAAATCCAGATCGAGAGTTTTGGTTTGGGCCTGGAACCCTTGACCTATTACTGGGGGAGGGCTACCAAGCCAGCCAAACCAGCAGGGGCCATTTAAGAGAAGGGTCTTTGTGGCCCAGGACAGAGACAGCTGCAACAGCTAGTAACTCTGCTCTGGGGAGTGGCTGCATGCTGTGGAGGTAGGAGCTAAAAGGCAGGCAGCTGGCAGGGCTGGGACTGATGAACAGCCCCTGTGCTTGGACTAGTCAATAGGCTGGGCTGACTGGAAGGGACAGGGCATGCAATAAATAGGCTTGCCTTCAGGCTGGAGAGGCAGTCTATCCCTGGCTGGTGAAGGGGCAGGATCCCCCAGGTGGGTCACAGCAGGGCCCAGAATCAAAAAGGGGAACTCTGGGAAGTAAGGATCAAGAGAGGTTTTTTTTTTTTTTTCCATTTGGCCTTTTTTCTTTTCCCTGCCACAGGACCCCAAAGGGATAAAGGACTGCCTTTCATGTTGAGTTTGTTTATGAGTGCCTGGAGAGGCAGTATTTTTTTGTTGAAAGTGGTTACTTGCAATTTTTGTTTCTGTTAGTTTGTCCAGCGGACCAAGAGCAACTGTGAGAGGAGGTGAATGTCACATTGCAGGTGCCTTACAGCAACCTGCAAGATTCACCCCTTGTGGGCAAGGGGTCATACACTGAGAGAGAGAGAGATGGGGATTTAACCCATTTGAGACTGGGGAACCAGGAGGGTCCAGCCCTATTGTGAAACCAAATTCGCAGCTGTACCACTGCTAGTAAAGGGCCAAGGCTATGGGTCTAAGTCAGGGTTGGGCAAAAGATGGCCTGCAGGCCACATCTGGCCTGCCAGACCATTGTATCTGGTCCATGGGGCTCCTAAAATCTTTTTTAAAATTAATATTTATCTGCCCTGGCTCATGTCAAAAATGACAGGACCCAGGGGCAGTAGGACCCAGAGGAAGCCACAGCAGGCCCCTGGAACAGCAGGGCCCACCTGGCCCTGGCCCTGCCCACTCAGCTGGAAGCCCCTACCTAGCAGAGGCTTTTGGCCTGAGACAGTGGGGCTGCTTCTGCCTGTGCTGGAGTGGGAAATTAAGTTAAGAGTGGGGGGACAGGTAGGCAGGGGAGGAGCACCGGTGATTGCCTCAGTCCTTGGGCTGGGATGGCCAGCTTCTGCTGAGTTCTGTGGTCCAGCCACTCATCCAGAAGCAAGTAGATGCATGGGAAGCAGCAATAGCTAGGATCCTTTCACCCAGATAGGTGAGAGCAGGGCACATGGGGTTGGGACTGTGTGTGCTGGTACCCTCCTGACCATGGGGCTGTGGTAGGGGCCTGGGAGTAAGCAGTCATGCGAGAGCCAGCACCAATACTCCCCTTTCTTCCTGCTGGCTCAGCCCAGCCCAGCCCAGCTCCATAGAGCCCAGCCAGCCATGCCCTGGACTCCTGTCACCCCACTCTGGGCCCCACCAGTGCTGGCCTTGGGACACCACTGAGCTGTTGCTGGCTCCTGTGTGCCCACTCGCTCCCAGCTGCCCAGGCCCACAATACAGATGGGGACCAGTGTGCACACTCCCAACCCCGTATGTCCCATGCTTGCCCGTCTGGATGAAAGGATCAGGCCCCAGGCTGCCAGGGCGGATGCCTGTGGCCATGTTCGTACTGCAGAGGCTCCTGCTGCAGCCAGGAAGCTGGGGGCCACCAGGGAAGGGCCTGTCCAGCCCTGGTGGCAGTACAGGTAGTTTCCAGAGCCACTGGGGGCAGCACGGGCCAGCAGAGACATGGCCCAGGGCCTGAGAAATGCAAGGAGGCAGTGTAGAAGTTACATCATGCACCTGAGGCTTGGGGCAGCAATGGCCCAGCTGCCCCGCCCCACAGGCAGCCTCGGTGGGTGCCGCTGTCCCAGAGGGAAGTCCCACCCCTCCCCCTCTGCACTGCAAGGAGCTGGTGGCTTGGCAACTGTTAGCCCCTTGGCCCCAGGATGGACAGAGAGGCTGTGCCAGGAGCCAAACTAGGGCAGTGGCTGCTTTTCTGCTTTGGAAGCTCCTGTGGCTGCAAGGAGCCCGGGGGCCTGGGGAAACCCCTGGCTGGCCCCAGGGGTAGTGCAAGGGGCCGCCACGAGCTGACAGGGACCCAGCCCAGGACACAGGAAGCCCAGGGAGATCACAGGAGCTTCTGGAGTAGAAAAGCAACTGTGGACCTGATCCACCTCCTGGCACAGTCTCCCCGTCCATCCCAGGGCCAGGGCCAGGGCTTGAGCTGCTGGCAGGCTGCTGGGCCCCTGTGGGAAGGGGGGCCTAGACATGTTCCTCAGGGTGGTGGAGCCTGCTGGAGCTGCCCATATGGGGGGCAGCTGGGCTGTGGCTGCCCCAAGCCTCAGGTGTGCAATGTAACTTCCGCACCACTACCCCACGCTTCTCATGCCTCAGGCCTGACAGGGCCTTCCCTGGAAGCCCCCAGGCTCCTGGTGGTGGCAGGAGTCACTGGAGTGCAAATGTACCCACAAGACATGGGCAGCAAGGGCCTGGCTGGCCCCTGGCATGGCTAGCCCTGGGGCCCAGTGCCACATCGCGGGGGGAAGGCCTGGGCCCACCCACATACCAGGGGTCCAGATATCTGCCAGCAGCTTGCCCACTGGCCCTAGGATGGGCAGGGAAGCTCTGCCAGGAGCAGAATTAGTTCCACAGGTGCCTTTGCATTTTGAAGGCTCCTGCAGCTGCCAGGAACCTGGGAGCCATCCAGGAAGGGCATGGCCAGCCTAGGGGATTGTGCAGGGGTGTGGCCAAGGCTGCTGGGGGCAGCACAAACCAGTGGGGACCCAGCACAGAGCACTGGAAGCCCAGGGAGGCTCCCCCAAAGTTAGATCCGAATGGCTGCACCAGCACGTTCCAGCTGCAGGCTATTGCAGAGCACGGCCAGGTGCGCACCCCACATACCCTCAAACCCTTCCCGCACACCCCACAGCCACACCCTCCTCCACACACAATCATACATCCCACAAATACCATACACACACATACATCCACAGCTCCCCACAAACCTCATACCCACCCATCCGTACCCGTGATACTCCCGCACACCCCACACACTATACAAGAGTAAGACTGCATTTTGAGCTATTATGCGATCACTTCTACATATACAGCAGAAACACACACAAAATCAGGAAAGAAATGAGTTTTTAAAATTATATTAAAATATATTATTATAGGTATTTGATTTTTAGTACATAATTTGTTTTTTTTTCCAGTTCTAAGATAGCAAACCCTCTTCCACAAAGGAGTACTTCCTGGGGCAAGGGGACGGACTTGCAGTGGCAATGGTCAGAGGTTAGGGGTGGGAGTTCTGGTCCCAAGATGGCAACCAGGGGGCGGGGCACTTGTTGAGGGCCGCTACTGATGCGGCCCTCGACAGCTTGCCAAAACTTCATAAGTGGCCCTCTGCCTCAAATAATTGGTCTAAGTGAAGGGACCAGCTAGAGTAAAATAGGCCCTGGCCAAGAGAGTCAAAGCCTGAACAAGTACAAAAAAGGGAAACAAAGTGGCCCAAGAGGAATACCATGCTAAGGGTGCCTGTAAATGTTAGGGGACGTTGCTCTGACATGCTGTCATTACAGTGCATCAGAGCAGCCTCAATTAGTTGAATCTGCTGGAGCATGCTAATTAGCACACTCTAGCAGCCTCTACACCTCCCTGTGCTTCAGAATGGTAGCTGGGACATTTTACCTAAAGCTCATCCAATGAGCACCACCCCCTCAACCTTGGAGCATGTGTAAAAGGCGCCTTAAGGCTTAAGATGCCTTCCACATAATTGGCTCCATCAAGACATGGCAGGAGAGATACAGGGTGATGGTTTGGAGGGGCAGGGGGGCATACTAGCTGGCCGCTGGCCACATACAACCTCCTGGCAGGCCTAAGCTTGCCATAGCACCCCATCTTCAGTTGTTACTTTAAACAATGAATTGTAACTGGATTTGCCTCAATTAGGTTTTAAATAACCCAGGTCCTAATTTTGGAGCCAAGTACAACCACTCCCCAAATGGGTGCACATATACTATTTATGATAAGAGTAGATTGAACATGTGCCTTGATTCTGACCAACAACCGTTTCATCCTCAGCTCTTATTCAGATTAGTCTTGCATGATCTACAGAGCATGTACATGGGATCATGCAGAGAGGACCCTGGTGCCTCTTGACACCTTGCCAAAATGCCCCTCCACATAGAACTTGTAAAGCAGTGTTTCTACGGGTTTTTACGGGGTCATAAAATTAGAAGGTACCAATTTCCACCCCAGTACCAAGATCTTCAGCTGCTCTAAACTGGCATAGTTTTACCAATGTCAGTTTACAGCAATGGAAGATCTGTCCCTCCATTCAGCTGATGGCTCTGGTCTTTCTGTTAGGCAGCCATGCATATGTTAGCCTTTTGTGGCAAAATAATCATTTTAAAAGTATTTTCTCTCTCTAGACAGTAGTTAAAAATGCAGAAAAAAATATCTGTAAGTACAGATATCACCTTTGGAGGAGCACTTGGTTCCATCTCAAATTTATCAGGGAAAGTTCTGCTGAGAGCCAGGTGTCTTGCATGCATGTAGTACTGAAATGTAAAACAAAGAAATATATAGATTAAAACAGACTTACTTTTGCAGGAAACAGAAAAATATTGTCTTCTCAAGGAAGGAAAGAAAAAAAAAAAAGGCTGACTATAGCCGCGTCCACATGAGTGCAGATGTTTCTTTCCCTGGGGACAAGTAGCAGTGGCACACCTTATGCCATGCACCCTCTAGAACAGGGGTGGGCAAAATAGGGCTTGTGGGCTGCATCCAGCCCACCAGGCAATTCTATCTGGCCCGTGGAGCCCCTGATTTTTTTTTTTTAATGAGTATTTATCTGCCTCTGGCTCCTGTAAAAAATGACAGGAGATAGGGGCAGTAGGACCCAAGGAAAGCCATGGCAGGCCCCTGGAACAGCAGCATCCACTCAGCCCTGGCCCCGGCCCTGCCCCCTCAGTCGGAAGCCCCTGCCTAGCAGAGGCTTCTGGCATGGGACCGTGGGGCTGCTCGTGCTTAAGCCAGAGCAGGAAATTCAGGTAAGAGCAGGGGGACAGGGAGGCAGGGGAGGATCATGGGTGATCACCCCAGTCCTTGGGCCGGGCCAGCTCCTGCTGAGTCCTATGGTCTGTCAATGCAGCCAGAAGTGAATGGGTGCACGGGAGCCAGCAACAACCAGGATCCTTTTGCCCAGACAGGCGAGTGCAGGGTACACGGGGTCAGGGATGTGTATGCTGGTCCCTGCCTGATGGCAGGGCTGGGGCAGGGGGCTGGGAGCAAGAAAGTGTGTGGGAGCCAGCGCCAGTGTTCTGGGGTGGCTCCTCTCTCTACCTGCTGGTGCAGCCCAGCCCGGCCCCATACAGCCCAGCCAACCATGCCCTGGGCTCCTGCCACCCTGCTCTGGGCCTCCCTAGTGCTGGCCCTGTGGCATTGCTGGGCTGTCACTGGCTCCTGCACGCTCCCAGCCCCCCAGCCTGGAGATGCAGGCAGGGACCAGCGCACACACTCCTGACCCCACGCACCCCACATTTGCCCATCTGGGCAAAAGGATCAGGCCCCTGGCCACCTGGATGGGTGCCAGCCTGTCCTAGGGTCAGGTGGCCGCGGAGACCACATTTGCATTCTGAGAGCTCCTGCTGTGCTCACAGTGGCACGGGCCCTGGGGACTCAGCCCGGGGTGTGGGAAATGTGGGGAGGAGGAGCAGGAGTTTCCTTGCACACCTGAGGCTTGGGGCAGCAAGGGCCCACCTGTTCCCCCCCTCACATAAAGTCCTGGTGGGTGCACCAGGGGGAAGGCCCAGCCCCCCCATGCACCACAGGAGGCTGGCAGCTTGGGGGCAGCTCGCCTCCTGGCTCTGGGATGGGCACGAGCCAGAGTGGGACTGTGGCCTCTTTTCTGCTCCAGTAGCTCCTGTGGCCACAAGGAGCCTGGGAGCCCCAGGGAAGCTCCTGGATGGCCCTGGAGGCAGTGTTGGGGACTGCCACAAGCCAGCAGGGTCCCAGCCCAGGAAACAGGAAGCCCAGGGAGGCCGCAGGAGTTAATGGAGAAGAAAAGCAGCCACAGGCCTTTTCCGGCTTCTAGCACAGCCTCTCCATCCATCCCAGGCTCAGGGGGCAAGCTGCCACTGAGCCCCTGCAGGGCAGGAGGAACTGGGCCTTCCCCCTGGGGCAGTGGCGCCTGCCAGGGTCACCTGTGGCAGGGGGGCAGCTGGGCTGTTGCTGTCCCAAGCCTCAGACGTGCAATGTAGCTTCCGCACTACCTCCCCATGCCCCAGGCCACATCCCCACCGGCCCATGTCACCTCCTGCAACTCTAGATGCCCCCTGTGTTGCCCCCCAGGCCTGACAGGCCCTTGGTCTAGCTTCATCTGCTTTGTGACCCTCCTCTGGTGTCCGGGTGGGCCCAGGCCTTCTCCCCCCCCCCAATGTGGCACCACACCCTGGGGCCAGCCATGGGTGGGGGAGGGAGACCAGCTGGGCCCTTACTGCCCAAGCCTCATGGCTGCATTTGTGCTCCAGCAGATCCTGCCACTGCCAGGACACTGGAGGGCACTGGCCAGCAACTGTGCTGGCCTCAGCAGCCTTACCTGTGGTGCTGGTGTCCCTGGGGAGCTGCAGTTGTGGCACTCTTCCAGCTGGGAGCTTGGTTGGCAGCTGAAGTGTGGCTCTAGCCAGTGACTTTCCCATTTTGGGTGGCTCACACTGCCATCACATGCCCCAGTCTGGGCTTTTTTTTTGGCATGGGTTTTTTTGACCCTGTGATCTCCTGGTGTCAAAAAAACACCTACACTGCAAAGTAGTAGTGTGAGGAATACCTGCATGTGTGGTGTGTGGTGCCATAGATTGCTCTCCAGTGCTCATCTGGACACGGCATATAGCTGTAACTAACTTAGACTATACCAAACTGGTATTACCCTGTGGTATTATACACACACAGAACTGAAGTAATGAACAATTCCTGATGTAATTTACACTTGATTCACTTTGAAAATAATCTGGTGTTTTGGCTTTAATGAAGATATGTTTTTGTGAGATCGAGGAATAAAAGAATGGAATAGTATATCTGTTAGAACCAGAATAGCTTTCTGGGAAGTGGGATTCTTTATCCCTAAAACATACCACAGGTTTCTTTCACAGGAAAAAAAAAAACTCGTATACATTGTATATGAATGCATGCCATGTGCATGTTAAAATTGGTTCTTCCTTAAAAATGAAGAAAAATATAAATTACAGGGAAGCAGATTTGTGAACTTGGTATGAATTTGCAAAATTTCAAACTCCATGAAACTTACCAGCCTCTGCAGCTTACAGCGAATGGAGAATTTGTTATAAGAGAAAATTAAGGTTGGAAGGGACCTCAGGACCCTGCTCAAAACAGAACCATCCCAACTAGATCATCCCAGCCAAGGCTTTGTCTAGCCGGGTCTTAAAAAACACCAAAGACAGAGAGAGTTCTCAACCTCTCTGGGTAACTTGTTCCAGTGTTTCACTACCCTCTGTGCCCACGGCAGCAGATCGCAGTTCTGTCCCGGCTCCAGACCACGCTGTCACTGCTGCAAGATCCTGGCTCCGGAATAGCTTCCCACCCAGCCGCACACCCCACCAGCGCTGCTGGGGTAGGTCTCCATGGAAACCCTGGGCCACGCCACTGCTGGGGTCTCCATGGAAACCAGCCACAGCAACACAGGCAGGGGCTGCTGGGAAATGGTGTTCCTTGCAGGCCCGATGCGACCCGCAGGCTGGACTTCGCCCATCCGTGGTCTAGCTTCATCTGCTTTGTGACCCTCCTTCAGGTAGTTGAAGGTTACTCTTAAATCCCTCCTCAGTCTTCTCTTCTCCATACTAAATAAGCCCAGTTCTCTTGGCCTCACCTCAGAAGTCATGTGACTCAGCCCCCTAACCATTTTTGTTTCTCTCCACTTGACTGTCTCCAACTTATCTATATCCTTTCTGTAGTGGGGGCCCAAAACTGGACACAGTAC